CGCGGCACAGGCTGCGGTGTACGGCAGATACCTTGTTCTGCCCGGTGCCCGGCGGAGGGCCTGTTCCTGGGCTACCCTGCCTGGGTAGGGATAACCCTGTGCCCTTGGCTTTTCTTCCAGCCACCGACCTCTGCAACGGGGTGGATCACGGCTGCGAGTTCAAGTGCGTGAGCAGTGAGGGCTCCTACCACTGCGTGTGCCCTGAGGGCCAGCAGCTCCAGGCTGACGGCAAGGCGTGCAGCAGTGAGTACCAGGACACGGGTCCTGGCACCCTCCTCGTCTGGGCTCCGTGCTCCTGGCGAGGGCTTACCTGAAACTAGGCTGGGGGTCTAAGTGGGACTTTGAGCTGGGTTAGATGAGGATGGAGAGCTGGCTGGGCTTAGGGGAGCACCCCGGCTGCTGTGGGGATGAACACAGGCTCATGTCCTCAGAGACACGGCCCAGAAGATGCAACAGGAGCTTTGAGGAAAGGTTCAGGAAAAGTGAGACCTAGGAAAGACTTTCAGGGGACACTGGGGTGGCAGTGGAGGTTTTTGGGTTGAGACCCCCGGGCATGCTTTGCTCCGCTTGCCGGCCTCACCCTGGCTGCAGTTCCAGGGGGTCCACGTGGTGTCCTGAAGCCCAGGAGCTCTGCCCTAGCCCTGGGCATCTTCACTCTGACGGTGCCCATGGCCAGGCTGGTCCCTTCTCACCTTCACCCTGTGCTCGCAGGGTGCGGGGCCGGGCGCGTCGACCTGGTGATGGTGATCGATGGCTCCAAGAGCGTCCGGCCCCAAAACTTTGAGCTGGTGAAGCAGTTTGTGAATCGTGTCGTGGACCTGCTGGAGGTGTCCCCCCATGGCACGCGGGTGGGGCTGGGTGCAGTCCTCCAGCCGCGTCCGCACCGAGTTCCCCCTCAACAAGTACCACAGCGCGGACGAGATCAAGAAGGCGGTGATGGCGGTGGAGTACATGGAGAAAGGCACTATGACGGGCCTTGCCCTCAAGCACATGGTGGAGCACAGCTTCTCTGAGCTGGAAGGTGCCAGGCCGCTCTCCCACAACGTCCCCAGAATCGGGCTCGTCTTCACAGATGGGCGCTCCCAGGACGACATCTCCGAATGGGCCAGGAGAGCAAAGGAGTCAGGTGCGGGGGGGCCGGGGAGCCCCAAATCTCAGTGCTTTGGGCACCCCAGGATGGTTCCTCGGGGTGGCTGGCTCTGGGGGAGGCTGCAGCATCCAGCCTTGGGGTGCCGCGTGGGTCCGCAGGGGCAGACGTGCCTCTGCCGTGGTCGCAGGGTGCTCTGAGCAGCAGAGATCCTCCGCGCAGCAGCCCGCGCCGCAGCAGTGCTGCCGTGCTCCTGCCCGTCCT